ACAAATTCTAGAGATAAATCCCTTGTCAGATATGTCATTGCCAAATATTTTTTCCTAATCCATAGGTTCTCTTTTGACTCTTTTGGAGAGGTCTTTGGAAGCACATAAAAATTTAATTTGTAGGTCACATTCATTTAGTTTATCTTTTGCTGTTTGTGCATTTTGGGTTATGCTTGATAGTCTATTTATGCCATATGTTGTTATTAGGTGCCATCAAGTTGGACCCGACTGGTAGCAACCCCTCCTTGGGTTTCCAAGGCAGTATCACTACAGAAGTAGGTTGCCCAACCTTCCTTCTGAGGAGTGGCTGGTGGGTTTGAACCACCAACCTTCTGGTTAGCAGTCAAGTGCCTTAAGCACTACGCTACCAGAACTTCCATGCCATAAGGTTGGGCAATCTACTTCCGTAATGATACTGCTTCGGCAACCCAAGGAGTGGTCACTGTGAGTTGGGTCTGACTCGACGGCACATGACAACAACAACAACAAATTTGCCCTTAGTTTCTCCTTGAGGAACTTTATAGTTTTAGGTTTCACATTTAAGTCTTTGATATATCTGGAGCTAGTTTTTGTGTAAGCATGAGGTACAGATCTTGTTTCATTTTCCTGCAAATGAATATCCAGTTTTGCCAGCACCATTTGTTAAACAGACCATCTCTTCCCCCACTTAATGGATTTTGGCTCTTTGTCAAAGATCAGCTGACCATAGGTCAATGGATCTATTTCTGGGTTCTCACTTCTATTCCCTCAGTCTATGTGTGTCATTGTACCAATACCAGGCAGTTTTGACTACTGTGGCTATATAGTAGGTTTTAAGATCTGGGAGTGTGAGATTTCCTCCTTTATTATCCTTCTTCAATAATGCTTTGCTTATCTGAGGTCTCTTTCCGTATAAAGTTAGTGATTGGTTTTTTCCATATCCTTAAAGAATGTTGATGGGATCTGGATTGGGATTGCATTGAATGTATAGATTGCTTTGGGTAGAATTGACATTTTCACAATGTTCAATCTTCCTATCCACAAGTTTAGAATGTTCTTCCAATTATGTAGATCTCTTACGGTTTCTTGAAGTAGTCTTTCATAGTTTTCTTTGCACAAGTCTTTTGTGTCCCTGGTAAGATTTATTCCCAAGTATTTATAATTTTTGGTAGCTATTGTAAATGGTATTGATTTCCTTATTTCTTTTTCAGCAATCTCTTTGCTGGTGTAGAGGAATCCAACTGATTTTTGGATGTTGATCATGTATCCTTCCACTATCACTTAGCAAAATGTTTTCAGGGTTTATCCATGTTGTATCTGTCTCAAGACTTCATTTCTCTTTATGGCTAAGTACTATTCCATTGTATAGACATACCACATTTTGTTTATCCTTTTATCTGTTGATAGCCATTTAGTTTGTTTCCACCTTTTGGCGATTGTGAACAGTGATGCAATGGACATTGGTGTCTTCATTTTCTTGATAGCATCCTTTGAAGTACAAAAGCTTTTAATTTTGATAAAGTCCAAATTTTCTTGTTTATGCTTTTGGTATCATATGTAAGAATCCATTGTTAAAAACAAGATCACATATTTATTCCTGTGTTTTCTTCTAAGAGTTTTATAGTTTTAGTCCTTCTATTTAGATATTTTGTCCATTTTGAGTTAACTTTTGTGTATATGGTGTAAGATAAGGGCCCAACTTCATCCTTTTGCATGTGGAAATCCAGCTGTCTCGGCACCATTTGTTGATAAGACTCCCTTCCCCCATGACATCGGCACCCATATTGAAAATCATTTAACCATTAATGTATGGGCTTATTTTTGTACTCTCAGTTCTATTCTGTGGATCTATACGTCTAGCCTTATGCCATTACCACACTGTCTTGATTAACTGTTGATTTCTAGTATGTTATGAAATCAGAATGTATGAGCCCTCCAACTTTGTTCTTCTTTTCAAGATTATTTTATCGTTCTTGGTCCCTTGCATTTTCTTATGAATTTTAGGATTATCTTGTCAATTTTTGCAGAAATAAAACTGGAATTCAGTGGGATTGCATTGACTCTGCAGCTCAATTTGTGGATATTTTCCATTTTTACAACATTAAGTCTTCCAGTCCATGGACATAGAATGCATTTCCATTTATTTAGGCCTTTAATTTCTTCCAGTGGTGTTTTGTAGTTTTCAGAGTGTAATTGTCACACTTCTTTAGTTCAATTTATTCCTAAGTATTTTATTCTGTTGTAAATGGAATTGTTTCCTTAATTCCCCTTTTCAGTTGTTTATTGCTGATGTATAGAAACACAACTGAGTTTTAGGTGTTGACTTCATATCCTGAAACTTTACTAAATCCATTTATTAGCTCTATGTGTGTGCATGTGTGTATTCTTTAGGGTTTTCTAGATATAAGATCGTGACATCTCAAATAGAGATAGTTTTACATTTTCCTTTCCTTTTATTTCATTTTCTTGCCTAATTTCCCTGGCTAGAACCTCCAGTGCAACGTTGAATAGAATTGGTGAGAGTAGACATCCTTGCCTTGTTGCTGATCTTAAAGGAAAAGCATCCAGTCTTTCACCATTAGTTATGATGTTAGCGATGGGTTTTTCTTAAATGCCCTTTATCAGGTTGAGGAATTTCTCTCTGTTCTTAGTTTTCAGAGTGTATTTACCCTCAAATGGTGTTGGATTTTTATAAAATGCTTTTCTCTACCTATTGCGATGGTCATGTGTGTTTTGTTGTTTGTTCTATTGACATGGCATAGTTGTACATACTAATAAAGTTTTGTATGTTAAATTGACATTGCATTCTTACATTAAATCCTGCTTGGCCATAGTGTATACTTTTTTAAAATATATTTCTTGATTTGGTTTACTAGTATTTTTTGAGGATGGTGGCATCTATATTCATAAGGGATGTTAGTTTGTACTTGCTTTTTTCCCCTCTTGTAATGTCTTCATTTGGCTAAAGTTTTCAAAGGGTCAATTATATTCTCACATATCCAAAGGAGCCTTTTGTACATGTAGCCTTTCATGTATTTCTAACTTTCCCCTGATTTCTCCTAGCACATAGTTGTTATCAATCTGCTGTATTCCCAATTGGAACATATGTCCATCTGGATTTAGCAAGACGGGAGGGCTAACTTTGAAAGCAGGACAGATAGACTGTTCACAGAGCCCTGTGTGAAAGAGGAAAAGATCTGATAGATGAAAGTCTCCAGCATCTGGACAGATCTTTGATATTTTTAAATCAGATCAAAACCAAAACACCAGAGAGAAATCAGGATGTGAAAGATCGTTTCTAACTCTCAGCATAATCATAGCAAGATTTGGGGCTTTCCTTTCCATCCCCCCAGTTTGCCACCATTGAATTTTGCACATTAAATATGTGAATTGTATGGTATGTAAATTATGTCTCAATTAAGCTGATATATATATATATATATATATATATATATATATATATATATATGATATGTGCTCATCATTTACAGAAGTACATAAAGTAGAAAAATTCAAGTCCTCCTTTGCCTAGTGTCACTTCTCAGAAGGTAATTGGTACTAAAAATTTGATGCATATCCTTTCAGAATGTTTTCTATGAACACAAGCATTTATGTATGTAATATATGTAAATATTTTTAAATGGGATCATACTATTCATTTTTTTTCCCACTTTAATCTCATGAGCATTCTTCTGTACCAGCACATGTGCATCCCTGCCCTCCCCCTGAACTATCTATGTTTGGCCATAATATGGATACATATGTGTCTTTGGTTTCTAGTCCCTTGAACTGCTTTTACAAGATCTTTCCTTCCTGTCTAGGTCCAAGAGCAGCATGGGGATCAAAGCCCTATCCCATGAGAGCATCTTCATATTGGATCTTGAACTTGAAACAGCAACTAAAGTGAGCCCCTCACCAGATCCCCAGAGAGGCAGAACCCGGCAGGTAATAGTGGACTCATGCCTCAGTGCCTAACTGGGCTGTGCTCTTCACCCATTTCCTACCTACTCCCACCCCATCAAAAGAAGAAGAAAAGAACTTGGCCCTGCTCTTAGCTGATTTACCCCATAGGGCTGTTGTGAGCATTGAATGGAGGAATGTATATGTATGTAATTTGCTCACCTAGTGCCCGGCACACGGGAAATACTCAACAAGTGTTGGCCAATATTACCACTATTCACTTCTCCTAACAAGTCCCAGGAATGCTTTAACTATTATGGCAGTTACATTCATTCCACTGTTGAGGTGCAGGCATCCAAACCTGCAAGATGTTTTCTGTCTTCCACAGAGATCTCGTATTTCCAGAACTCTGCCTAGAAGTGGGCTTAGTCATGTGTCTGGAGCTGTGTCTGAAGTTATGTTTGGAGCTTTGCCCCGATCTAAGTCCAGAAGTGGAATCTGGGTTGCAGGCTCCAAGATCACTGAGGTAATAGAGTGGAATTGTTCAGAAAATGGGCAGCTGAGTCAGACATATCTGTTCTTGAATTCTTGCTCTGCTACTTACTGGCTGTGTGTCCCTGGGGTGATTGCTTAACCTCTCTGAGCCTTCTTTCCTCATCTACCATGGGTACAGTATTACTATCTACCTCAACAGATTGCTTGTGAAGATTGAATGAGATTGGATGTGTCAAGCGGTACTATTACTACTACTATTCATGAAAGATGATAGAGGAGAAAATTCGGGGAGGGGGGTTTTCTGAGACTTCAACTCTGGGATAGGAAGGAAAGGAATGAACACTTTTAGGGGTTCTACCTACTATGTACCTAGTACCATGCTAAACATTATACATATCCTCTCATTGAATACTAATAATCACCAGAAATAAATATAATTGTCTCCATTTTATAGATAATAAAATAGATTCAGAGATTAAAGAAATTGCTCCAGCTCATCCAGGTAGTAAGTAGTAGATCTGGAAATCTGATTCAGGTGTGTTGACCTCACGGCCCATGGTCTTTCCATTACCCCAGTTTCTTAAGATGCTCAAGTTCATTGTACCTGCCTTGATAGGTAGAAGGATATACCTCTGCAGCATGTACATAGGACAGACAGTATCTTACCTAATCTTAAACTTGTGGGAGATATTCATTGCTTGGTCAGATTCTGTTGAAGCTGTGATCCAAAAATTCAGTTAACAGCAGCCACCTTCCTCCTCTCAGCCTGTGGGTGAGATTATGCCCAAAGATCCCTGTATAACTGGGAAGGCCACACAAGGAGGAGACCCTTCTCTCCTGGAAAACTAGTTACTTTGCATTTGGCAAAAAGTGAATGAGGCTTATATCTAACATGTCTGCTTGAGAACCTCTCTGGTTTCTGTACTATGTGGAAAGTCTGTTATGTGTGTAAAGTCTGGTGGGTCCATTAGCCATAAAGGATGGAGAAGAAAACACTGAGCTATTCACTTATGGTGCCAGTCCTATGGTTGTAAAGCAGTTCCTAGATCAATTGGCTTTTGCTCCTTGGACCATAGCAGGAAAAGTCACATCTGTGAAATTTTCAGCCTTCAATTTTCAACACCAACCTGCACTTGCATCCACAGCTACACCTTATGACCATGACCATGTGCCACAAGGTTATTTCCCACATTCAGAAAAAGGAAGCCTGTTTTCTGGACTTCTCCCTATCTCCGTCCCCTCTTAGTCCCGGCAAAATTGAAGTTCTTATAGCAGAGCTATTCCTTTTTTAAAAAGATGAACTTGTGTGTGTGTGAAAATGAAAACAATCTCTTCTAGAGACATTTCCTTTCATAATTAAGAGGGGTGGGGAAAGCAGTAAGAGCCAAAGCAAGTGTTCTCAAATGTTTGCCTTGGACCTGCACCTCAGCCCCTTGGTCTGTTTCTTTAGTCTCTCCCCTGAGAAACAAGCCTGAAGACAGCATAGGATGTCAACAGGACCTGAGTCATTCATAACCAGATTGGCATTTGTGTGTGCAACTTCCCTTAACAGTAAAGGTGACACCCTCAAATGGCAGGAAAACTAATACCCTTAAGTCAAATTTTCTGACTTCCAGTGCTATATATAAGCTGGGCAACTATGGACTTGGTCAGTGGCTGGGTTCTTAAGGGGCAGGATTCTTAATGGATTAAGTGACATTCAGACTAACTGGGAGCTTATGGAACAGGAAATCCAGCAATAAAGTTCTGACAGAAATACCAAGACTAAACCAGAGCTTTACCTGACATCCAGTCTAAAGTGTTAAGAATGCTTAGATTAATCTCCAAGACATTTCATGTTCTCTTCATTTGAGGGTGAATAGAATTGATGGATAAGAAAATGCAATAGCAGATTATAAGCATCTTCCTATTGTTGACTCAAACTAAATTCGGTTCTTTTAAAAACTAAGACTCCAAAACAGTAACTTTTTATTGTGAGTTGGGGAAAAGTTTCCAGAGCAAATTGGTTTTCATTCAACACATTTTGTTTTGTGACATTGATTGCAATCCCCACAATGTAACAGGGCTCTTCCTGCCTCCTCCCTGTGGTTACCATTTCCCTTTGTCCTTCTTTCCTATCCATTCCTGCCTTCTGAGTTTTATCCCTGGAAAATGCTGCCCTTTTCATCAAGTAATTGTTCTTTTGATCTCTTGATCTAAGTAGTGCTTACCTCACTGGTGTTACTGTTCACTTCATAGTTCTGTCTATTGTTTGACAGAGAGTTAACTCATAGGAGTGAGTTCAGTTCCGCGCCCAAAAGGTCCATAGTCTTGGGGCTTCCACCAGTGTCCATCAGACTAGTAAGCCTGGTCTTTTTTTATTATTACCATTTTGAATTTTGTTCCACATTTTTCTCCCACTCTATCCAGGATCTCCAATTTTGTTCCCTTTCAGAGTAAATTGGCAGTGGTAACTGGGCACCATCTAGTTCTTCTGGTCTCAGGGTCATTGAGGCTAAGGTTCCCATGGTCCACTAGGTCCTTGAACTAATTGTTTCCATGCATCTTTGATTTTCTTCACTTTTCTTTGCTCCAGATGGGGAGAGACCAATTGTTGCATCTTAGATGGCCACTCGCAAGCTTTTAATACTCCAGTGCTACTCACCAAAGTAGGATGTAGAACAATGTTTTTATGTACTATGTTATGCCACCTGAGCTTGATGTCCCCCCAACTATGGACCCAAGCCTGTAGGCCCAGCGACTCACTCCCTCAAGATGTTTGGTTGTAGCTAAGAAGTTATCATAACTTTGCCCTCTGTTAGCGCTCTATACGGACATTTTTATAGCACAAATAAATATGTGTGCAGAAATATCACCTGCCAAATCTATAAATGGCCACGGGTGTCGTCCTGTTGGCCTACCCATAGCTGATCAACTTGCCTGTCTACCTATGTAGATTCATGTTTATTATTGCTGATAATGCAGTGCTGTGCATTATAATAGTGTTTACCTTTGTTGTCTGTAACTCTTGTGTACCTCTCTGTGTCTTCCTTTTCCTTAGTGATATTGTGCTGGTCACTCACTTTTGCTATATTGCTTTTCCCTTCACCCAAATCAATACATGTCTTTTACATAGCTAGCAATTTTCCCTCCTTTCCCTACCATCCCTCATAATCAGCAAAGAATGTTTCTTTCTGTGTGTAAACCTTTCCTTGACTTTTTATAATAGTGGACTCATGCAATATTTGTACTTCTGTGATTAACTTATTTCACTCCGCATGATGTCCTCCAAGTTCATTCACATTATGAGGTGTTTCACGGATTCTTCATTATTCTTTAATGTTGCATAGTATTGCATTGTGTGTATGCACCATAGTTTGGTTATCTATTCATCCATTGATGGGCCCTTAGGTTGTTTCCATCTCTTTGCCATTGTGAATAGTGCTGTGATAAACATGAGTGTGCATATATCTATTGTGTTCTGGCTCTCACTTCTATATAGCTGGTAGTGGGATTGCTGGATCAAATGGTATTTCTATTTCCACCTTTTTAAGGAAGCACCATACTGTTTTCCACAGTGGTTGCATCATTTTATAGTCCTACCAGCAGCGTATGAGAGTTCCAATCTCTCCACACCCTCACCAGCATTTGTTATTTTCCGTCTTGTTGAATTTTGCTATTCTTGCTGGAGTGAGATGATATTTCATTGTTGTTTTGATTTGCATCTCTCTAATGGCTAATGATTGTGAACATTTCTTCATGTCTTTGTTGGCCACCTGAGTATCTTCTTTGGTGAAGTGTCTGTTTGTGTCTTCTGGCCATTTTTTAATTGGATTTTTTGTCTTTTTGGTGTTGAAGTTCTCTATGAATTTTAGAGCTAAATCCCTTGTCAGATACATCATTGCCAAATATTTTTTCCCCGGTCTGTAGGTTCTCTTTTTACTCTTTTGAAGAAGTCTTTTGATGTGCATAAGAATTTAATTTTTAGAAGGTTCAAGTCATCTAGTTTCTCTTCTGCTGTTGGTGCATTTTTGGTTATGTTTGATAGTCTATGCCATATATTACGGCCCCTAAGTTTTCCCCTATTTTTTCTTTGATGATCCTTATAGTCTTACATTTTACATGTAGGTCTTTGAACTGTCTTGATTAATTTTTATATATGCTGTAAGGTATGGGTCAAGGTTAAT